TACTGGTCATATACATCTGTATACTGGTCATACTATACCTGGGTATACTGGTCATACATGTGGTTTACTGTCATACACGTGGGTATACTGGTCACATACGTGGGTACACTAGTCAAATACGTTGGTGTTCTGGTCATACACGTGGGTATGCTGGTCATATACGTGGGTATACTGGTAATAAACGTGACTGTATTGGTCACATACGTGGGTATACTGGTGATCCACGTGGGTATACTGGTTACATACGTGGGTATAATGGTTATATACGTGGGTATAGCGGTCTCATTCGTGTGTATATTGGTCAAAAAAGTTGGTATAGTGGTCACATCCGTGTATATATTGGCCACATACGTGGGTATACTGGTCACAAACGCGGGTATACTTGTCATAAAACGTGGATATACTGGTCACATTCGTGGGTATACTGGTCATATACGTGGGTATAGTGGTCATATTCGTATGTATGTTGGTCACGTACGTGGGTATACTGGCCATACACGTAGGTATGCTGATCATACACGTGGGTATACTGGTCATACACGTGGGTATACTGGTCATATATGTGGGTATACTGGTCATACACGTGGGTATACTGGCCATATGTGGGTATACTGGCCATACACGAGGGTATACTGGTCATAGACGTGGGTATACTGGTCACATACGTTGGTAAACTGGTATTACACGTGGGTATACTGGTCGCATACGTAGGTATACTGGTCATACAATTGGGTATACTGGTTATATACGTGGGTTTACTGGTCATATATGTGGGTATACTGGTCATATATGTGGGTATACTGGTCATACAATTGGGTATACTTCTTATACACGTGGGTATACTGGTCATATACGTGGGTATACTGGTCATAAACGTGGGTATACTGGTCATAGACGTGGGTATACTGGTCATACACGTGGGTATACTGGTCAGACACATGGGTATGCTGGTCATATACGTGGGTATACTGGTCACATACGTTGGTATACTGGTCACACACGTGGGTATTCTGGTCATGCGCGTGTCTGCATCACGTTTTCCTTAAGAAATATTAGTCAGACACGTGTCTGGACCATGTCTCCTTAACAAATACTGGATAAATACGTGGGTATACTGGCCACATACGTAGGTATACAGGTTATACGTGTGGGCACGTAGTGGTCACTGGCCATACACATGGCTGGACCATGTTCTCCTCAACAAATACCAGCCATACACGTGGTCGGACAATGTCTTCCTTAACATATACCAGTCATACAAATACCAGTCATACACGATTGTGTACCATGTTTTTCTTAGCAAATACTGGTCATACACGATTGTGTACCAGGTGGGTCATATACATCGGTGCTTAGAGGAAGTACAAAGTTAACTCTACCGGTACCACGTTAACCCTTACATTACTGGTCATGTATGTCAGAGCAACATATTAACAATTACAGACGCTAGTCACACGGTTCGACTCACCCTGTTATGTCAGACACGTGGGTGTACTGCGATGACAACCGCCTCATATTTACGCCCTCTCCAATAAACGAAACACATTAACGAATATTATAGTATGTGTTCATGTATATTTTAGTATAAAAGTTGTAAACATGTAACAAGACTAAATCATATGTCAACAAAGACAGTACATGAAAATTCAATCACTGGATACAGACATCCTCAGTCGGAATACCGACTAACACTGTGTAGCTGGGAAATCCGCTTTGATCACACTAGGAAGTCCATCAAAATGTCTTAAAGCTTCAGTCATACTCTGGTGGATCCCACGCTCGCCAAGTTATTTAACTGAGCCACTTAACATAGGCAAAACAAAGACCTTTTCCGGCACGACCACCGGAACCGATGCTGCGGTTGATGCCGAAGTAGATGTCGTAGTTGGGGGAGCCGCCCTCGGAGTCCGACTGTCCGTTCAAGGCAAACAGTAAGTTAGTGTTGAGGAAATAGTTGAACTCTGCTCCCCAATTGTTCCAGATGACGAGGCCGTCGGCGATGATGACGCTGAGACGGTTGTAGATGATGTTGGGACGAGTCAGGAGAATACCTCCTTTGGGCGAGTTCATATCATTACCATAGATACGAAATGTAGAACCGGTTCCTTGTATTTCGGCGTCACGGGATGTGGTGCCACTGTCTCCACCTGTGATGATAAAGGACATAAAAGATGTAGGATATATGACACATGACGCTTGAATCATGTCACGTTGAACATAATAAGAGGTACATTTGGGAGCCATCTACTTCCACGAATATTATTGTAAATGCACCTATATTCCCCCTGTTCTGCAATGACAACATTGAACTTTAAAGACGTCTATCAAAATATATCAATACATTACTAAATGAGTTCTGATAATCTCTGCATCCAGTGTTATCAATATACTGTACTCTTGTACCAGCATGGGTGGTCATCAGCACACATCGCACCGGAATATTGGTAAAAGCGGCATAAAACCATACTCACTCACTCACTCACTCACTCTGAGCAAATACTTAAATCTGAATCCTGATTATAACCTATGTTTGTTAACGCCATACCCGTGCGAGTCTCGTTCACGAAAATTATGAACGTGTCATAACTGATACATTCTTCAATGCAAACTCACTCAAAATGTTCAAAATGAGGATTAATTATTATAATGTCACACACAATATTATCACTAAAAGATAAATTACCATATCCATTGTTGGTGGGTGAGTCGCCGATGTTGAACACCCAGCCTGAAGGGTTGCTGAACCACATGTCAATAAGAACTTTATTCTTCCTGTTGGCTGACCCAGGAGCGCCAAAACTCAACTTGAGAACGCCCCTCTTCCCGCACGTGCCTGACCCATATAGCGATGTCTTCCAGGACAGGGAACTGCTGGTGTTGATGGTCGTGCCTGACGTCAGGTCAACTGTGAAGTCATAGCCTGGGGACACATAATACATATATTGTGAGGATGGTGACACAATACAATTACTGAGCTTGTCAGTTTCGTATATGTTCCAAAGAACAGACCACATAAATTGTATCTATCTTTTCATCATCAACGTCAAATGGGTCGTATAGAAGGTTTTATTTCGATTTACAGGTTAATAAACATGTAAATTTTTATGTTTTATTATTTTGATGCATCATCGTGGGGCGTATTTAAGATCGAGCAAGGAGGGAAATTAATCAATATGTGAGCGAAAATACATTGCCAAATGGGTCGTATAGAAGGTTTTATTTCGATTTACAGGGTAATAACCATGTATGTTTTATTATTTTGATGCATCATCATGGGAGGTATCTAAGATCGAGCAAGGAGGGAAATTAATCAGTATCTGAGCGAAAATACATTGTCAAATGGGTCGTATAGAAGGTTTTATTTTGATTTACAGGTTAATAACCATTTATGTGAGATGCGTCATCATGAAACGTATTTAAAATTGAACAAGGGTAAAACTTTAACCTTTGTTCGAAAATACATGGTAGAGAATTAAATGTCAGTTCCATCCAGGAGAGTCGCTGGTGTTGTCCTATCGTGGGTGTAATAACTAAACCGTGGGGCGAAAGAAACTATACTTCTCAGCTTATTTTATCATGTTTGATTTTAAGTTGCAAATATCTTACGTTAGAGACATTATACCCAAATAATGAACTGTGCTGGCGCTTATTTATCGCTCAAAGAATACCTGCTTCTAACGGGCAGGACAAACTGATTTTAAGTGATCCATTTACATAATTTTCACCCCTATTTTGCGTTTTATGCTCAAACGTATCTGTTTCGACAGATAATCGAGATTATTTTCTGGCGTTGACATCCACTATTTACTAGTAGTTTACAAAGTGATTGATAACAGCCGACAGCCGACAGCTTATAACTAAAAATGATAAAATATGACGGATAAACATCAGAGTATTTGGCTTACCTGCTACATAGCAAACGCAACAGAACGCTGCTATCAATGTCGATAGTTGAAGCATCGTGAATGAGATAATGCTGACTTCTGTCTCCGTCTGTGAGTGAATACATTGATACTGCACCCGCACTATATACTTCTCCTCACACACTCTCAGCCAATAGCAGCAGTACTACGCGACGTCATCCCGGATACCTGTGTCAGGTAAACAGTCTTTTGATTGACAAGAGGTGCTAGCTGTGACGCTGTGAAAAGAGAATGAGGGGAAGACAGGGGACTCTTGTGATCGTGCTTGTTTGACAAACTTCGTCGTAACCTCGATTCCAAGGAAGCAAAACAAAAACATATCCGGTCGAACTACAATTGTTTGATAGATACGTTTTATTCATCTTTGGAGCTAGAGTTCGAAACTCCTTGTGACATTAAAGAACAAACATGTTTTTTTTATGAAATAAAATAGTTTTTATTCGCATCAAACTGTTTTTCGTAAATCGTAAATAAGACAACGATGTCCATATTATCTGTATACCCATGTTCCAGTGTATGGCATCATCTTCTTGCCCCAGGGAAATATTAGGAGATAAAAAAACACGAGGATGTTTTTAAGTATTCGGAATCGTGCCTCAAATGTTAGAATTTCCGCTAATCGAAAACCCATTAATACCCACAAATGCTACGAAAATCGACTGGGTCGAAGATTAATGTTAATCACAGGCAACAAATATGCTGTATTCTCGTCCCCAATGCTATGCTACGAAAGCCTAATAGTACCACTTTGGTAGCATACGTGTATTTTTTAAATCGAAATTTCTCATTATTTCAATTATATTTCATGAAAAAATATGTTTATTAAAAAAGAAATTTCGCAATCTAACTCCAACCATGAATAACAAATATGAAACACGTGTAGTGTTACCGGATATGTTTTTGTTAAGTTCGCCTGGAATCTAGGTTATGACGAAGTTAGTCATATTCCCAAACCCTGAAGCTATTGACGTAAATCCGCCTTCTCATCCACAGCGTCATAGCAACGCCTCTTGTCAATCAATTGACTGTTTGACCTGGCAATAGGTATCCGGGATGACGTCGCGTAGTACTGCTGCTATTGGCTGAGAGTGTGTGAGGAGAAGTATATAGTGCGGGCGCAGTATCAATGTATTCACTCACAGACGGAGACAGAAGTCAACATTATCTCATTCACGATGCTTCAACTATCGACATTGATAGCAGCGTTCTGTTGCGTTTGCTATGTAGCAGGTAAGCCAAATATTCTGAGTGAGTGAGTGAGTCAGTGAGTGAGTTGGGTTTAACGCCGCTTTTAACAGTATTCAGTTATATCATGGCGTGTCAGTTTAATATGGAAGGAAAGCCCGAAGTGATGAAGGTCTCCGACGTTTACCACATCGGTGAAACCCACGAGCACGGGTATGGTGCTGACTAACCTGCAAACATAATCGGGGCGAACCGGGATTCGAACCCACAATCATAGGTTCCTGGTGTGCCGAAGGGACGCGACTCTGCACAGCGAATCGCGGCGCCTTAGACGACTGGGCCACCCATCCTACCCCCTCCCTACCCCCCACCCCCCACCCCCCACCCCCACCCCCAACCCCGACCAAAACAAAACAAAAATGTAAAAAATTTCCGATGTATAACTGCCATTATGTATTATTCTGTCATTTGTAGGCTGTTGACTATACGTTTGTTATCACTCTGTAGGCCGCTAGTAAATATAAATGTCAATGACATTTTGGCGTACAATGCAAAATAGGGGTGAAAATTATATAAATGGATCACTGAAAATGTCCTGCCAGGACGCACCCGCCAGTCACACAATTTTCATAAAAAAGTAAGCATTTTTTTGTAAACATTAACCCCAGTGAAAACATAAACTAAGGGACAAACGAAAGTATACCGAGTTTGTTTTTTATGTAAATAAAAATCGGAAGAACTGTTTGATTATGTCTATTTCACCATCACTAATTCCTGCAACAGTCTTAAAAAGTAATCTGTGGCTGAGTAATTATGTCTGAAAATATATTGGTTCAATGAAGACTGGGGTAAGAAATGAATTTGCAAACACATGACCCCCACAATGTTTTAAATGTTATAAATTTGTGCCGAAGAAAGCAAACAAATTTGTTGAATTTCAAAGATAAGATGTCTCAGATACCCATGAGCAATTGTGTATTATGCGAAAATATATTTTTATTTTTTTATTTAAGTTTCGAAATCATTGCATGTTGAAGAGTGTTGACTAAGCGCCACTACAGTTCATTATTTGGGTACAAAATCGCTATCCTAATATATTTCAACTGAAAATCAAACATATAAAAAAATCAACTGAGAGGTATAATTTCTTTTGCTCCTCAGTTTAGTTTTTCTTCCCACGATATGACACCAGCGACTCCCTTGGACGAAAATAACACTTAATTCTCTACAATGTATTTTCGCTCAAATATTGATTTATTTCCCTCCTTGCGCGATCTTAAATACGACCTACGATGATCCATTAAAACACTAAAATATATAGAGGATTCATCACGAGTGTTTTTTAATCTGGGAAATATCAACCGAGTCTTAGTTAATCGGTATTTGCGGAGCCTTTGGCGAGGCAAATACCGATTAACGGGACGAGGTTGATATTTCCCATATTAAAAAACACGAGTGATGAATTCTATTTATCATTTTCACATGTTTGCTTCCAAATTAAGGAATAATTGCATTAAACATTAACATCAGCAACTTGTCGAAATCTTACGTATAGATCGTGCGTAGTGATACATGTTTTCCATAGCCATGTAAACCAAAATAAACAATTCGCTGAGAAAAAAAGTTCCTCGGATTATTTTAAACAAAATACTTGAACAGACTTTTGCAGAATAATTGAAACTTTAATAACGGTAACAACAACGATTCTGTGTAATCTGATTATATCTCTGGTGTAACTTCACTTATAATATATAGTTTCAAATCAAACCGCTCGCTCTTCCGGTTATCTAATTTGCATATCTAATTTGCATACTTATGTCATTGGGGTATGACATACATGTTTTTATGTCATAAGCTTATGTCATGGATAAATGCTTAAGTTAAATGATAAACGTGGTTATTAACCAGTAAATCGAAATAAAAATCTCCCACACGACCCATTTGACGTTGGTGATGAAAAGCAGTAAAATGGTCTGTCCTTTTGAATTAACAAGCTAAGTAAATTATACTTTGTCACCATCCTCACAATATATGTATTATGTGTCCCCAGGCTATGACTTCACAGTTGACCTGACGTCAGGGACGACCATCAACACCAGCAGCTCCCTGTCCTGGAAGACATCGCTATATGGGTCAGGCACGTGCGGGAAGAGGGGGGTTCTCAAGTTGAGTTTTGGCGCTCCTGGGTCAGCCAACAGGAAGAATAAAGTTCTGATTGACATGTGGTTCAGCAACCCTTCAGACTGGGTGTTCAACATCGGCGACTCACCCACCAACAATGGATACGGTAATTTATCCTTTTTGACAATATTCTGTGTGACATTCCATAGCATTCAAAACTAATGGGCCGGCCCAATCATAAATACTAATCAGTCCTGATTTTGACTGGTCGAGTGTTGAAGAAGCTATCAGTTATTTCACGTCCATAAGTTTCGTAAATGAACACGGGTATGGCGTTTACAAACATAGATCATAGTCAGGATTTATTTTGATGACTAGTTGATTCAGATTCATTTATTTACTCAGAGTGAGTGAATATGATTTTTACGGTGCTTTTAGCACAGTTCCAACAATTCACAGTGGGTTATTTGCTATGAACTACCCACGGTGGTACTAGGGTAGAATATGCCAATAATGTTGGATGCAGAGGTTATCACAACTCATCTAGTAATAAATTGATATATCTAGAATGGTACTTTGATGTTCAGTAAGTTTATTGTAGAATTGGGAAAATATAGGGACATTTACACAAATAATTGAGGTGTGTCGATTGCTCCTTAATTTCCCTCTTATTATGTTCAACATGACATGATTCAAGCTTAATGTATGATATATCATACATGTTTCTGTCGTAAACATAAGGTCATAATCAGGATTCAGATTAATTAATTTGCTCAGGGTGAGTGAGTATGGTTTTACGCCGCTTTAACCAATATTCCGGTGCGATATGTGCTAAGAACCACCCACTCTGTTACAAGAGTACAATATATTAATAACACTGGATGCAGAGATTATCTGAACTCATTTAGTAATGTATTGATATATTTTGATAGATTTCTTTGATGTTCAATGATTTTATTGCAGAACAGGGGGAATATAGGGGCATTTACAATAATATTCGTGAAAGTAGATGGCTCCCAAATGTACCTCTTATTAAGTTCAGCATGACATGATTCAAGCTTCATGTGTCATATATCCTACATCTTTTATGTCCTTTATCATCACAGGTGGAGACAGTGGCACCACATCCCGTGACGCCGAAATACAAGGAACCGGTTCTACATTTCGTATCTATGGTAATGATATGAACTCGCCCAAAGGAGGTATTCTCCTGACTCGTCCCAACATCATCTACAACCGTCTCAGCGTCATCATCGCCGACGGCCTCGTCATCTGGAACAATTGGGGAGCAGAGTTCAACTATTTCCTCAACACTAACTTACTGTTTGCCTTGAACGGACAGTCGGACTCCGAGGGCGGCTCCCCCAACTACGACATCTACTTCGGCATCAACCGCAGCATCGGTTCCGGTGGTCGTGCCGGAAGAGGTCTTTGTTCTGCCTATGTTAAGTGGCTCAGTTAAATAACTTGGCGAGCGTGGGATCCACCAGAGTATGACTGAAGCTTTAAGACATTTTGATGGACTTCCTAGTGTGATCAAAGCGGATTTCCCTGCTACACAGTGTTAGTCGGTATTCTGACTGAGGATGTCTGTATCCAGTGATTGAACTTTCATGTACTGTCTTTGTTGACATATGATTAAGTCTTGTTACACGTTTACAACTTTTATACTAAAATATACATGAACACATACTATAATATTCGTTAATGTGTTTCGTTTATTGGAGAGGGCGTAAATATGAGGCGGTTGTCATCGCAGTATGACCAGTATTTGTAAAGGAAAATGTGGTCTAGCCACGCATATGGCCAGTATACACACCTGGTACATAATCGTGTATGTCCAGTATTTGTAAAGGAGAACATGGTCTAGTCACGTATATGACCAGTATACACACCTGGTACACAATCGTGTATGACCAGTATACCCATCTGGTACACAATCGTGTATGACCAGTATACCAACCTGGTACACGATCGTGTATGATCAGTATTCCCACCTGGTACTCAATCGTGTATGACCAGTATTCCCACCTGGTACACAATCGTGTATGACCAGTATTCCCACCTGGTACACATGTACAATCGGGTATGGCCAGTATACACACCTGGTACACAATCGTGTATGACCAGTATACCCACCTGGTACACAATCGTGTATGACCAGTATTCCCACCTGGTACACAATCGTGTATGACCAGTATTTGTATGACTTGTATGTGTTAAGAAGAACATGGTCCAGCCACGTGTATGACTGGTATGTGTTGAGGAGAACATTGTCGTATGTTTTAAGGAAAACATGGTCCAGCCACGTGCATGTCCAGTATTTCCGAAGGAAAACATGGTACACAATCGTGGATGACTAGAATGTTGAGAAGAACATGGTCCAGCCAAGTGTGTCACCATTACTTGCGAAGGAAAACATGATACAGAATCGTATATGTCCAGTATTTGTTAAGGAAAACATGATACAGAATCGTATATGACCAGTATTTGTTAAAAAGAACATGGTCCAGCCACATGTATGACCAGTAGTTGTTGCGGGGAGGTCCAGCCACGTGGATGGATGACCAGTATTTGTTAAAAAGAACATGGTCCTGCCACATGTATGACCAGTAGTTGTTGCGGGGAAGTCCAGCCACGTGGATGGATGACCAGTATTTATGAAGGAGAACATGGTCCAGCCACGCGTATGACCAGTATTGGTGAAGTAGAACATAGTCCAGCCACATGTATGACTAGTATCTGTAAAGAAGAACATGGTACACAATCGTGTATGGCCAGTATTTGCGGAGGAAAACATGATACACAATCGTGTATGACCAGTAGCTGTTTAGGGGAACATGGTCCAGCCACATGTATGACCAGTAGTTGTTGCGGGGATGTCCAGCCACGTGTATGACAAGTATTTGTGAAGGAGAACATGGTACAGCCACGTATATGGCCAGTATTCGTTGAGGAGAACATGGTACAGCCACGTATATGGCCAGTATTTGTTGAGGAAAACATGGTTCAGCCACGTATATGGCCAGTATTTGTTGAGGAGAACATGGTACAGACACGTGTATGGCCAGTATTTGTTAAGGAGAACATGGTACAGCAACGTATATGGCCAGTATTTGTTAAGGAGAACATGGTACAGCCACGTATAAGGCCAGTATTTGTTAAGGAGAACATGGTACAGCCACATATATGGCCAGTATTTTGAGGTGAACATGGTACAGCCACGTATATGGCCAGTATTTGTTGAGGAGAACATGGTACAGCCACGTATATGGCCAGTATTTGTTGAGGAGAACATGGTACAGCCACGTATATGCCCAGTTTTTGTTGAGGAGAACATGGTACAGCCACGTATATGCCCAGTATTTGTTGAGGAGAACATGGTACAGCCACGTATATGGCCAGTATTTGTTGAGGAGAACATGGTACAGCCACGTATATGACCAGTATTTGTTGAGGAGAACATGGTACAGCCACGTATATGGCCAGTATTTGTTGAGGAGAACATGGTACAGCCACGTATATGGCCAGTATTTGTTGAGGAGAACATGGTACAGCCACGTATATGACCAGTATTTGTTGAGGAGAACATGGTACAGCCACGTATATGGCCAGTATTTGTTGAGGAGAACATGGTACAGCCACGTATATGGCCAGTATTTGTTGAGGAGAACATGGTACAGCCACGTATATGCCCAGTTTTTGTTGAGGAGAACATGGTACAGCAACGTATATGGCCAGTATGTGTATGACCAGTATTTGTTTAGGCGAACAGTAGTCATGCTTATTGTATTATCGGCACATGCGAGTATTTATCTACATTCATCAAGAAATGTGCCTTATCGATAGTAGGACATAAACTGCTTACCATAATGGATGTCATTTTTTTTTTGTGGGAAAACATATGAATCTGAGAGCAAGAAAGGATATCTACCAGTAGAGCAGGACATGCTTACCCTCTTCTAGTCTGTCTTACAGACCCTGATACAAATATATATCAAATACAGCCCATGCAAGTCTATAATGCTTGGCAAGTCTAGATTACTGCAGTATCTGAAAATGAAGAGAGTCACTGGGCTCCCTTTTATTATATTTTTATTAAGATAACTGGACAACTGTTTTTTTTCTGTACGATAGGTTCATTTCAGAGAAGAGATGTTAGTCTAATCCTCTCCGAGAACACTTGGTGTCATCGCTGATTTTCATAGATCCATTCATATAATTGTCATCACTTTTTGGCCTGATACACCAAATGGAATCTGTTTCCGGAAACCGGAAACCGAAAGTTAGATAATTCATTCTGATTATAGACTCCAATAAACTACATAACAAAACGGTTAATAAAGTAAACATATTTTTTTAGAAACCTTTTTAAACAGATTACTCTAATCTGATTACCCGGAGTGGATTAGTGAATACACTTTGGAAAGGTAAGAATTTATGGCTAACCCTAGCCCTTATCAGCTCGATAAGGGTTGTTTGATGGTAAAGACAAGTCAGTTTCTCTGACACCCGGGGAATGGGTCGCTCTCCGGGGACGTTTGGGTGCAATCGAACGATGTGTCAATGTGAACGAATTCCCCGACGGCATGGGACGTTGTCTAAATCAACCTCTGGTTAAGTTGTCAAGTACAAAATCGATTATTTACAGGCCGCCCTGATATTGCTGGAATAGTGTAGTCTGCAGTAAAAAGGAACAAATGGCAATATTTTAGATTTATTTAAGAGAAGACAGACACCTATGAAAATATCTGAATTTACGTTTTCTTTGAGTTTCGACAAGTGAAGGTTTATATCGCATAATAATATATGTCAATTGTTTACAAAAAGAAATCATATAAGTGTTATTAGGACAAAACTGCAACTTCATACCAAATTTTATTATACATGTATCTTGTTCACCAACAGGCGCATGAAAAGGATTTTGTCTGTACTGAAATTAACATGGGTTGCAAGGAAAAATACTCCGTGCTGCGAGGGGCTTCAAAATGCAGCTAAAACAATTGGGTTTTCCTGGTTTTAACAAGTGACAAGTCTTCCAATAAATGTAATCACTAATGTGTTGGTATCAAACTTCACCAGTGAGTGCGTGTATGTCTAACAAGTTGTTCCATGTCGAAAAATTAATGTTCACAGGCCCCGCATTTGTCCAAGTCCGCCATCTTTGTCCCACGGCGTGCCTCCTCCTCCTACTCAGTATGCGCGAAGGCGCTAGAAAGCGCTCTCAGCGTGCGTTTCGTTCATTAGGAAATATTCGGACGTGCTCGCCAGCGCTCGCTGGCGCCTCGGCACCAAACGGCTTATTGAATGCACCTCAGGACAGACAGCATGAAAATGAAGACAGTATACAAGTTGGTGTAATACTGTAGAATATACAGAGAGACCTGAGGTCTTTGCATAGTAAGTTCGACAACTTTGAAAAAACTCTAAACGCACTGAAATCAGAACAGGATAACATGTGGTCAGTAGTCGATAAACTTGAAGAAGAAAATAATATGATAATGAACCGACTCGAACAACTAGAATCCCAATCACGTAGAGAAAACTTAGTCTTCTTTGGAATAGAGGACGATGGTAAAAGGGAAAACTGGAATGAAAGTGAGAAGAAAGTGAGAACCTTTATGAAAAATGAGCTGAAAATGCCTAGAGAAATGGCGGCGGATATACATATTGAAAGAGCACATAGATTACCCACTAAGCGGACTCCACGTCCGATTATCGTAAAGCTCTCCTTTTACAAAGAAAAAGAAAAGGTGTATGAGTCAGCCAGAAACACACTGCAGCGACATGGAAAGTTCCGTGTCTCTCCGGATTACACACAGAGTGTGAGAGATGTGGGGCGGGTTCTTTGTGAGTACGTGAAAGAACATCGAGACAAAGGTGACGATTGCTATCTTACATACGACAAGCTGGTGGTGAATAATGTGACTTACAAATACGATTGGGAAAAGAAAACCATCGTCCCGATGGAAAAGCGACGATACACCCGCCAGCAAGCCACCCCCGTCGCCGACCCACCCGACGAAGCTTCCCACATCCGGGACCCCAGAGCTAGCAGACGACGTGGTGACAGCCACCCCGAGAGACAATCTGGCGAGCGTAACAGTAGCACGGGGCATTCCAGATAGGAATGTGGTCGAGGGTAGTGTCATAGTAGAAATACGTGCAGATCCACTACTAAATCCAAACATGAAGATAGATATATTCCGGAAATAAAATTATCCTTCATAACATGGAATGTAAATGGGTTTTATTCAAAACTCCAAACAATTTTTTGTGTGTAAAACCTTCGATGTCATTACCTTTATAGAAGCTTGGGCCAAACATACCACGGATTTTGAACATATTTTCCCAGACCATCAATGTCACCAGTGTGTTCGAGAACGCAAATGTACTGTGGGCAGATATAGCGGTGGAATCGCCGTATATATAAGGAAGTCTGTCAACCAGCTGTTCACCCGATTGCACAACGAATGGACAGATTGTGTTTTCTTCCTAACAAACGTACTGCCCCGGCCTCCCATTATACTGGGATTTGTATATGTGACTGATGCAACAACAGTAGCAGCTAATATGCGAGACTGCACTGGTGTAGAACTCTTAGAGACAAAACTGTATACAAATGTACACTGTGTAATGAATATCCAGGTACTGCAATAGCTATTTATGGTGATATGAATGCTCGTATAGGATTA